TAGTATGGACTTCTGTCCCCAACGGAGTTATCCACACACAGACCACACCAGGCACAGCGTGGGTCCTTCCTGGAGTGGTCAGAACAGATGGTACCAGATTTTTTTTTTAATTTATTTCTTGAGACAGGGTTTCTCTGTGTAGCCTCAGTTCTGCTAGAACTCACTTTGTAGACCAGGCTGGACTTGAGCTCACAGAGATCCTCCTGCCTCTGCCTCCTGAGTACTAGGATGGCAGTGGTACCAGATTTTGCGTTTCAGAATTCTACCGATTCTCCCTCATCCCAATCTTAAGTGGACATGGGCCCCTGGGAAGATTATTAGAAGTGTCAAAGGTGATCCTAGGCAACCTAAGCCCTCTCTTTCTTCTGGGACCTTCATTTCCATATGGGCAGATGAGCAACTGGACTCCCAGCACCTCAGCATCATTCCATGGCTCAAGGGGGAAGTGTTTCCTCTGTTCTAACACCAAAGTAACCAGCACAGAAGACTTCTGTGACCTCAAAAAAATATGGGGGCCAGGCGTAGTGGTACATGCCTTTAATCTCAGCACTCAGGAGGCATAGGCAGATGGATATCCATGAATTCAGGCCAGCCTGGTCTACATAGCAAGTTTCAGGCTAACTGGGACTACACAGTGAAACTCTGTCTGGAGAAACAAAAATAAAAATGTGTAGGGATTTCTCCAGCAGCACACAAGCAATGAGTTCTACTTGAACCCACTCCCCCAGTTTCATTTTGATGTGCCTACCTAGAGCTAGGTCAGATCCTTCTGGTTGAGGCCTCCACCCCCAGAGACTGACCCTGGCCTTCAGACACTAACTAGTACAGCCTTCCTTACCAAGCCTCTGCCCAGCTAGTTCCTAGTTTGACAGGGCTCAGCTGACTCATGAGAGGGACTCAAAGGACTCGGGCAAGCACAAAGGTTATTGGTTTGTTTCCGATGCGGAGAGGTCGAGGAGGAGCAGAGAGCTTCTGTGCCTTCCCACCATCCTCCAGGAACCCCCATGTGACAGCAGTCCGGAAGCTCTCCAAACGCTGTGCTCTGAGAGTCTTAGGGGGCTTCGTTACACAGGCATGAGTGAATGACTCAGTAGCCACTGGGGACCAGCTCAGTGGGTTAGGGGGCATAGCTAGAAAATCCCTACAAGACTTGGTCTTTCCTGTGACCAGCGTCCATCTTGAAACTACCCATATGCTATTGGCACCAGTCATCTCTTTGACACACACGATGCCCCACTTGGGCAGTAGCAAGGATACTAGCTCTTATGTCAAAAAACTTGAAAAACTGTCTTAGTCACTTGTCTCATCTGTGTGGCAGAATACCTGTCGAAAGACACTTAAGAGGCTGGAGGGATGGCCAGTGAGTAATATCACTTGCTGTGCATGCAAAAGGACCTGGATTATAAATTGGCTGGGCATGGCCAGGCATACACCTGCAACCCCAGAACTTTGGGGGCCAGAGACAGGACGATTGCTGGGGCTTGCTGGCCACCAGCTTAGCTCCAGGTTCCTGAGAGGCCTGGCCTCGATGGAGCAGAACATTCAGCATCGTGACGTCACCCTCTGCATGGACCACAGTCACACGCACGCAAAATGAAAGCAGGGAGAGGGAGGTGGGACTTGACTTTGGCTAAGCTTGAAGGTACAGTCTATCACGGCAGGGAAGGTGTGGCTGCGTGGAAGGCATGGTGGCTCCATGGAAGGCGTGGTGGTGGCAGGGAAGGCGTGGCAGCAGGAGCTTGGGCTAGCATTGGCTCCACCATCAGGAAGCAGAGGGTAGATATTTGTGTTCAGCTCACTTTCTCCTTTTTCTTTAGTCCAGGACCCCAGCCCAGGGGGTTATACTGACTACATTTGGGATGGACCTTTTCATCTCAAAAGTAACATCCTCACAGACATGCGCAGGGGTTTGTTTCCATGGTGATTCTAAATATCAGCAGGTTGCCAATGGAAATTAGTGATCACAAGAGGCCAAGTATGTATTTCAGAATCACAGTCACCAAATAGGGGAAGCCAAGAGTGCAGTAGCAATAGCAGACAGACCCAGGAAAGTTAAGGTCCGCGCGGGGGAGGGGGAAGTTCTCCTCACTGTGGTTTAATTAGTGTGATTCAGACAGGCTGAAAACAGTGTGAATGAGCCTGCTCTCTACAGCAGCTGCCAAGCACTTGGCTTGTGATCTGCTGTCATCCCACTTGTCCCAAGAGCTCCCAACTTGACAGCTCACCGGCGAGTTGGTTTGTTCTGTCCTGTTGTGATTCATACCCTGGGGGCCTCTCCAAGGATCCTGTGCTGTGAAAAGGGCACCCCAGCAAGACTGTGCCCATCCCCGGGAGCCACAGTGCCTTAGCCCAGAAGTACGCAGACCATTAGCGCCCCCTCGAGGTGGGATGGGGCATGATCTATGACCGCCCTGCGAGGGGTAGCCTTTGTAAGGAAATGTTCTGGCTGCAGCCTCCGGGAGACCCTATTCTCCAAGCACTTAATACCAGCCTAATGAGCTGCGTGATGGAAATTGTCAAGAGCTCTCGCTGACATCCTGGGATACTGCTTGCTGGTTTATTAGAGCAGAGTGCTGTCTGCATGAGAGAAAGACAAGTCTTAGAACAACAAGATTGGCGAGGCATTCTACCCTGAGAGAACGGAAGGCAGTTGTCAGAGCAGATGAAACACGAGACTGAGGTAAAGTGCAGAAAGTGGTACGGCCCGCAGAAAGCACACTCCAGCACACGAGGTTCTCGGGCCCCTCGCAGGACTCCTCTGTGGCCGTGGAGGGAGGTGCAGTGGGTAACAGTGTTTGAGAACACCCGCTCTCATCCCGTTCTCCCTGAGCGATATCCCAAAGTCAAACCTTAGGAGATCTCCCCACCAGCTTTTGTCATTTGAGCTCCCTTGGCCGTTCCTAGTCTCCTTACAAACTGCCTTTCGACCTCCTCTTCCTCTTCCCCCTGCTCTTTCTTGTCTTCCTCCTCATCTTCCTCCCTCTTCTCCATTCAGTTGAGTTAGCAGCCATCAGTTCTCCCTGCAAGACTCAGTTTCTCAAGCTTGGCACTGTACTTCTGACCAGCCCCAACACATGGCACATGAAAACTTACCACAGATGCTTCTGCCTAAATCTTTTTGTTCCAAAAAACATCGGCCTCCTTTACTCTAAGTCACAGGCTGGGAACAAGGGTGATCTCAACCATGGCCAAAGAGGGAGACACTGGTGCTTCCCACCTTCCTGAACAGCCCTTTACCCCCTTGAGCTTGAAGTTTTGAATGCGGAGGCAAAGCCATGCAAGAGCCTAAGCTGTTTCCAGATACTTCCACCCCATTCGTCACCCTCACACCCTAAAATAAACACCAATAAGACGCCCCTGTGTGCCAAGCAACCTCAACAGCCCCCTTGTGGCATCGTCTGATTTTGAATATGGGAGAAGTAAACCCTAAACTGTCAAGCAACTCCGTCAGGGTGGAGCCACACAGAAAACCCTGTCTCAGTGACACCTTGCTCAGCTCTGCCCCACCATGGTATCTGTGTCTGCTGACCTTGGGGCCAGGGTGCTGGATGTATGTGGAGGTGACAGATGCTAATTGAGAAAGCAAACTGGTGAGAGGAACTGATGTTGACATCTGAAATAACAGAGGACACAGATGCCATTGCTGGTCCACAGGCTGCTTTGGAGTCTAAGCTAATGGCTGCACAAGTTAGTCCATACACAGAACTCCGTCCTTTTCGTTTTTCTTATTCTTACTTTGTTTTTATGTATGTGAATGTTTTGCTTGCAAGTATATATGGGTATCTTGTATATGCCTGGTGCATAACGAAGTCAGAAGAAGGCTTCTGATGCCCTGGGACTAGAGCACGGATGCTTGGGAACCACCATATGGATGCTGAGACTCAGACCCAGGTCCTCGTCAAGAGAAGTACGTGCTCTTAACCACGGAGCCGTCTCTCCAACCCCTTCTCTTTTCATCAAGTTTCACTTCACTTTGGGGTTGACCCGTAGGCAGTAATGTGATTGATAACCACAGGTAGGCCAAGAGAGAGGGATGACAGCGGAAATTGCCTACTTCTTCCTGGCTTGTCTTTCCTGGGAAACCAATTCCATATGATTGCTGTATTTCATCGTAAATGTCAGGGAAGGAAAATGGCAAGAGAAGAGAGCTTCTCTACTGAGGTTAAAAAAAAAAATGGTATGTTGGTCTGGTGAGGCCGAATGCCCTGCTTCTCCAGGACTACAGCTAAGAGAAGGGTATAGCGGAAACAGTGTCTTTTTGTGTAGCTCAGTTAGCCTTGGACTCTGTTTCTCCTGCTCAGCTCCTGAGTGCTGGGGTCCTGTACCACATGCTCAGAATCAGGAGTCCTTTGTTTACTTCATGCCTCTAACACGTAGCAGCAACACAAAAGAAAAGACCCTGAAGGTCAGGCAGTGGTGGTGCACACCTTTAATCCCAGCACTTGGGAGGCAGATCTCTGTGAGTTCGAGGCCAGCCTGTCTACAGAGTGAGTTCTAAGACAGCCAGAGCTACACAAAGAAACCCTGTCTCAAAAAAACAAAAATAAAAAAGTAGACTCTAAGGTATAAGGGTATGGAGTCTTGGATAAAAATTCAATTCTCATTTTCTTTCTTATTTTCTTTCTCTCTTTTTCTTTTAATTCCTTATTGCTGGACATTGAGACTCAAGCCCAGGCCTGGCACATGCTGCCCAGGTGCTCCGTCACTGTGCACACACACGGTCCACTTGGATAGTTCGAGGCTGTCTCAGTGCCCTGACATGGTCTTGAGCTTTGGTTTTGGATTTGACACAGGTTCTCACTGTATAGCCCTGCCGCCCTCAGATTCTTGACTCTTCTTCCTCACCAGCTGCAATCACAGATGTGCACCCCCACAGATGACCTCATTTCCTCAAATATGACCTCAATACAGTCGCCAAGTTTTGCGTGGGTTAGCCCCCATCTGGAGAAAGGAGAGTGGAGGTATCTATCAGAGCTAACCGAGCATCTTTCTCCCCTCAGTGACCATGCAGCAGGTGGCCAGGACAGTGGCAAAGGTGGAGCTCTCAGACCACGTGTGTGACGTGGTGTTTGCACTCTTTGACTGCGACGGTGAGTGGGGTCCTGTGGGGGGTGGAGGGTGAGCCGGGCCTCGCTGTATTCCCAGACCCGGTTTATAACGGGACTGTTGTCTATGCAGCAGCTTGGCCTTGGCCCCGTGAGCTTGAAGATACCACCCTGGGCCCCAGTTTGTGTTTTCCACTTCTTTGGGTTTTTCTAGTTTTTGTTTTGTTTTGTCATGTTGAGATGGGATCTCATTATGTAACAACAACAACAAAATAGAGAGAGAGAGAGAGAGAGAGAGAGAGAGAGAGAGAGAGAGAGAGAGAGAGAGAGTGTGTCAGATTCTGCTTGGGGAGGACCTTTAAGCCCAGGGTCAATGCTAAGCAGAGTAGAATGGCCAGGCAAAGGGCAGCAGCAACACCTTCCAGATGTCGACACCCCGAGAGGTCCTAATGCCTTGCTACTTGAATTCTCCAGCAACCACACAGCTCCCCTGCACCCCAGCATCCTCTGTCTGCACCATGGTAGCACTTACCCCACCACTGATGTCCCCGTGTCTCTCCTGCAACCTGGGAGTGTTCCCTGGACCAACACACAAAGCTCATGCATCCCTGTCCTCACACAGGACCTGACTTCTGCTCTAGTCTCGGTGTCAGTGACTGGAAGGACAGAGCAGCTCACCCTAAGCCAAGACATGAACTTGGCTGAATGTGTGCTGGGCTGCAGGGTCCGCGGGGTGTGAGGGATGGGATTTTCTCCCGGAGTTTCTACTTACACCTCTGTTTTTCCTCACCCTCCAGGCAATGGGGAGCTGAGCAATAAGGAGTTTGTTTCCATCATGAAGCAGCGGCTGATGAGAGGCCTGGAGAAGCCCAAGGACATGGGTTTCACCCGGCTCATGCAGGCTATGTGGAAATGTGCCCAAGAAACTGCCTGGGACTTTGCTCTGCCCAAATAGGGTCCCACTGCCTGCACCCTAGCACCTGGACCCCTGGAGCGGCCCTTCATGCTGCTGCTGCTGCTGCTGCTTCTGGGAGTAGTGCCCCCCATCTTTCTGGGAGTAGTGCCCCCCATCTTTCTGGGAGTGACCTCTGGGCTCAGCAGGCTTCCCTCTTCACCCTTCCCTGACCCAGTCAGTTGCTACTAGACTTCAAGTTGGCTGCCAGATCAAAGGTTTTTAAAAACATGGACAAGTCTTCAAAGTGGAGACTTTAACTCCTTCAACTAGTGCCCTATGGATAAAGAATGCAGGGAGACCTCCGGATACCCACCAGCCCTGGAAAGCACCCCCCCCCCCCTCCAGGCTGTCTCACTGTGGGTTTATCTTAAGAACATCCCCTGCTCTTCTTCCTCCTGCTGTTCCTAAACTGCAAGTTTGAAAATACTCTGGCGGGCAAGAGGAAGTCTGTGAGAAATGATAATGAAGGCGACCCTGGTGCCCCGAGCTGGCAGGAGGCCTGGTTGGAGGATCTGTGTCAGACACAGCAGCTCCAGGAAGACCTTGCGCTCCCAGCAGAATTCCAGAGTCAAAGGAGCTGCCTCATGGTCCTCAGTGCCCTCATTTCCCTCCAAGGCTCCCAGTGTCACTTTCCCTCTCTATGGGCTTGCAGAGCCCAGACCTGGCTCAGCCAATCCTCCCTGGCTAAAACACTCATAAAATATCCCTTTAATTATACCAGTTTGCAGTAAATATCCCCAAGAATTCTCGCGTCCTTTCTTTTGGGCCTCTCCTCTGGCCCTTTGTTTTGTCCCAATGTGGTAGACCCCATTCTCCTCACCAGAGGCTGTGGCAGCTTGAAACAGGGACACAAAGTGAGGGTACTTGTCATTAGGTGACTTTGTGCCTGCCCAGTTGGAGTAATGTTTCATTTGGAACTGGAATTCACAGTCCCTGACAAGAAATCTCCCTGGGGCTAGACTCTGAGCATCCGATTGGTGGGCCTGCATTTTCAGAACCCTGGCAACATTGGCCTCTGCTAGATTCAGCTCTACCACTATGTGTATTGTTGGAGCCGGTCATTCCCTGTTTGTTCCCTCAGCTGTTAAAGGGCAGGTTGAGCTGAATGGACCCTCAGATCCTTCCCATGAGCCTCTGTTTCAGCTCTGCCTCAGTGTGGCCCTCCACCCTAACTCAGAACATGGCCAGAGGTCATGGGGCAGCAAGAAGGCTGACAGCTCTGTCTTCACCTGCACAGGAGAGCAGAAGGTGGCATTTCCTCCAGGGCCTCCCTTCCAGGAGGCCAGGTTGGCTCTCCACTGAGTCCGCTGCTTCCTGCCTCTTAGGCGCCCTGTTCTCTCCACTCTGCCTGGAGTCTAAGTACAGGCCTTACAGTGCTGGTTGCTCTTGGCCTGGGGCATCATGCAATGTGAGCCCAGAATCCATGTTCACCCTTCCCATAGTCCCATTCTCCAGAAGTCCATCCACGACCTCAGTGGGGGCATTCATTTCTCCCCACAAGAAGAGCCCTTCAGGGGAGCAGCTGGGCTTCCTTAACCTGAGGTTCAGTGTGATCCAGGGAAATGAGAGATCCTAGAGACGGTTGCTAAGCAAAGGGGATTTGAGAATGTGCCAGTTTTTAAGAATCAAAATTTTAATTGCTTCTAGTACCCCACCTACTTTCAGCTATGGCTGAAGCTCATACTTTAGAAAAAGGAAAGACTTGGACAATGGCTGCTGCCACGTGGAGTAGGAGGGGCTTCATGGTCCCAGGAGCTGATGCTGAGACTATGCACCCTCTGCAAGCCTTGCATAGACCAAGCCCATGGGAACCATGAGACGAGCCAGACTGGCTCAGCTGTGGGCTTCCACTGCCACCTGCTGGCAAAATGGCTCAGTGCAAAAAGTCTCTAGCTTGCCTGCAGGGGTTGGCTGGCACCAGGCAGGGCAGAAAGAACCATGAAGAAAGGACGCGGTTACAGCTGAGAGAAGGAGAGGCTTTAGTGTATTGGTCTCTGGCTTTAGAACATGAATAGTGATAGGTAAGCGTGTATTGTTTACACTATTCTACGTGACCTTCGCTGATCAGCTGCATCGAGCAAGGTCTTGGAGGGGCGTGCATCCTAGAGAGAAAAACAGGAAGAAGCGACAGGTTCCTGAGTACAGAGAAGCAGGCTGGCTGGCCCTCTGATCCCAGCCTGTACATTCCCAGCAGGCCTGCAGAAGACGGGGGACTTGGGTTTGTTTGGTTGTTGTTGCTTCCAATATACTTATGAGGAGTCTATTTAAATAGACTGGGTGGTTTTTGTTTGTTTGGGGGGTGGGTTTTTTGTTTGTCTGTTTGGTTGGTTGGTTGGTTTTGGTTTTTCATGATAGAGTTTCTCTGTGTAACAGCCCTAGCTGCCCTGGAACTAGCTCTTGTAGCCCAGGCTGGCCTCAAGCTCACAGAGCTCTGCCTGCCTCTGCATTCCCAGAGCTCACCCCTGAATTTTTTTTAAATATTTATTTATTATGTATATAACATTCTGCCTCCATGTATGCCCACATACCAGAGGAGGGCGCCAGACCTCTTTACAGATGGTTGTGAACCACCATGTGGTTGCTGGGAATTGAACTCAGAACCTTTGGAAGAGCAGGCAATGCTCTTAACCACTGAGCCATCTCTCCAGCCCCACCCCTGAATTTTTTAATTTATTTTTATTTTGTATACATATTGGTGTTTTACCTGCAAGTATGTATGCGGGAATCAGATCCCCTGGAACAGGAGTTACAGACAGCTCTAAGATGTCATGTGGGTGCTGGGAATCGAACCCTGGTCCACTCAAAGAGCAGCCAGTGCTCTTAACCGCTGAGTCATTTCTCCAGCCCCCAGCCCCGCATTTTTGAATGCGATTTTTCTTGAGATGTATTAAGTGGGCTTCAGTGGGATCCACAGTGAACCCTAAGTCCCCCTAGAAGCCTGTATCAGGCTGCAGAGCTGGAAGGAAGTTAACGGACTTAAAAGGTGAGGTCAGAGGTGTGTGACTGGAGGAGGGGCAAGCGTGGAGCATGGAACTTGGAGGACAGCAAGGTTGTCAGTCACTCAGGATAGGACCAGACTTGTGATTGGTTAGCACAGTGTTGCGGTTGCTCCTCATGGCCCCGCAAAGCTGAGAGAAGAGGCGGGATTAGGCAGAAGGTGAGCCATTTTTCAGAAAGTAGAGGTTGGGGATGGATAGGTGGCTCAGCAGTTAAGAGCATTTGTTCTCGAAGAAGATCCAGGTTCTGTTCCCAGCCAGTACATGGCAGCTGTCTGGAACCAGAGTTCCAGGGGATCTGAAGCCATCTTGAATAATAACAGCACCAGGCATGCACATGGTACACACATAAATATTTAAAAAAGAGAATATGAAGATGCCTGCAGGGCATCAAGAGGGAAGGATCTCGTAGGTAGGCCATGTATAAGGGTCCAAACCCAGGAAAGGGAGCAAGAACAGAGCTCTGGCTTAGGAGTCTCCCCAAAAATGATACACTCCCAATTTCAAGGCCACTCATCCATTAACACACGAATTCCCCGGGGTCTGTTTCCATCTGTGAAGTGCTGGTAGCTGCTCTGTGTCACCCTCAAGAGAAGCCTGGACAGAGGTTGAAGCAAAAGGATTTTGAATTTAAAAATAATTACATATGACAGACCAGCCAAGGGACAGGCCAAGTTTGGTAGAAATATGACTACCGACCTGGAGAGACATCACTGGGAACCTTCATCTGGTGATGGATGGAGATAGAGACAGAGACCCACACTGGAGCACTGGACTGAGCTCCCAAGGTCCCAATGAGAAGCAGATGGAGGGAGAACACGAGCAAGGATGTCAGGACCACGTGGGGTGCACCCACCCACTGAGACAGTGGGGCTGATCTATTGGGAGCTCACCAAAGCCAGCTGGACTGTGACTGGAACAGCATGGGATAAAACCGGACTCTCTGATCATGGCGAACAATGAGGACTGATGAGAAGCCAAGGTCAATGGCAAGGGGTTTTGATCCTACTTCATGTTCTGGCTTG